TGATTCTCACCAGCATCACGAAGAATATTTAGATTAAAAGCAAGAGTTTTACACTTCCAATCCATGGATTCAACAACGATAACAATGAATCATGAAATCAAACAAGACATATCCCACGGCAATTATTATAAAAACAAAACTGGGTTCCTCGCGGGGAACCCAGCAACTGGGTACCTCGAGGAACCCAGCAACTGGGTTCCGCACGGAACCCAGATCTGGGTTCTTCACGGGGTACCCAACAACTGGGTACCTTGAGGAACCCAGTGCTGGGTTCCTCGTGGAACCCAGAGGAACCCAAAACTGGGTTCCCCGTAGAACCCATATCTGGGTTCTGCGGGGAACCCAAGATGAAGAGGGATGATGGAGGGATGATGAAGAGGAAGCCGAGGATGATGAGGAGGATGAGGATGAGGAGCTCGAATGGAGATGAAGAATTAAAGTTAATTTCATTTAATTTCATGAATTAAAAAATAAAATTTTAAATTTATACATGTAATACTAAATATTCAGATAAAATATTTATAAGAATTTAAAATTTTAATCAATTAATCTTTATATCTTTTATAATATTATTTATATAAAAAAAATCAACTAATTCTATTAATATTTTAAAAAATGATAGTAATAAGGGTAATTTTTTTTTTAAGGGTAGTAATAAAGGGTACTTTTAAAAAATATATATTTTACAAAGAAAAAAAGGCACTTTCAGCAACAAGGGATATGTTGCTGAAAGTGCAAGGTGACAGGAAAATGATAGTAATAAGGGGTTTTTTTTCAAAAAAAATATTTTATCCAAAAAAAAAAATAAAGGGACACTTTTAGCAACATGCCCCTTGTTGCTGAAAGTATAAAAGTGTAACATCACCGGAGAATGGTAGTAAAAGGGGCATTTTTTTCACAAAAAAATATATATTTTACCAAAAAAAAAAATCAAGGGGCACTTTCAGCAACAAGGAGCATGTTGCTAAAAGTGCAAGGTGATAGGAAAATGATAGTAATAAGGGGTTTTTTTTCAAAAAAAATATTTCACCAAAAAAAAAAAAACAAGGGACACTTTCAGCAACATGCCCCTTGTTATTGAAAGTGTAAAAGTGTAAGGTGACCGAAGAATGGTAGTAACATGGGGCATTTTTTTCACAAAAAAA